ATAATAATATAATTATATTATATAAATAGTATAAAATAATAAATATATATATAACTATACACGCGCGCATATATACACAACTAATATACGATTGACTACATCGAAGTTCGAAAAATAACATGTTTCCTTCAAAAAGCAATATGTACGTATTTGAAGGAAAGTAAGGATGTATCCGTCATTTCTATTTCGTAATTTTCACCTCATGTTTGGTTCATCATCCTAATATTGAATGTCTGCTCGTTTCTCGAAAATGGATTCCTATTCTGTCTCGTCGAACTCAAAAATACGCTCCGCCGTTCCCCGTTTCTCCGCTCGTTTTCAGTAGGTGGACCTACGCATGGGGAAACGAATGAGGCACAAGGGACTCCTCCGGATTTCGATTATCGTCGATAACTCGGCTGGATGTATCCCTTCTATACCAGCACTAGTTTCCGGAAATTCGCCTCGCCCTCGGGATTATCCCGCCCCGGGAATTCCCATCTCACCATCAACGTAGTGTTCCCGCCGATCCCTTTTTCTTTCTCTCCGCCCCACATATCTATCCTGAATTTCTCTTCTCTCTCTTGTTTCTATCCCTTCTCCCCTCCCCTCCTTTTATCTTCGGCCTTGCGTTCGATTTGTCCTGAATTACTTCATTGGATATATTACATCCCTTTTCTTCGTGGCCATAATACGCCAACGAGATACGTCTTACCACAAGCATAGATATTAAGTGAGAATTTCAGAAATGAACATCATATTGCACGAGTATCTTGATTTTATTGCAATTACATGTAGATGTTTTTTTTTATCAAAGATTGAAGTCATTCGAATTTCAATAATTAAATTTTCAAAATTCACGTGGATTCAACATTTTGATGAAATAAATGAGAAAAAACGTATATATCGCGCACATTTTCTATAGTAAATTAAACGCGAAAATAAGTTATGTGAAAGAATTTATAAACCTTGAGCTACTTTTTGCTGTTTCAGAATGCTTGTTTCCAGCGAAATGGGAAGGTGCGTGGTTCCAAAGTGGCGTGAGGCAATCAATATTAATTTCCAAGAACGAATTATCCACCAAGGGCAGGTGTCTACACAACGAAGGTGACAAGTACCTACTGGTAGATCAGTAAGTAATCCGATTTCTCATTTTTATAAAGTACTCGAAACAAATTTATTTATTATTTCACAATCTGAGTATTTTATTATAACTAATTTTCTACTTTATTTATCTATTTATCTTCAGATAACAAATTATAACAATAGAATAAAGCACTCTTTTTATCGAAAAGCAAAGAGAGATTAGGTTATATAGTAAAACATTTTGTATTGTGTTAAAATCAGTTTTTGTTATAATTTTTGCGAATTTTTAATATATCTAAATATTAATTTAATATAATGTGATTTGAATATTTTGTGTTAAATTGATATTCAACATTTCTTAGTTAAAATAACACAATTGAATAAACAGTATAAAAATAATATATTACCTATTTTAAAACGTATATTCTAAAACAAATGAATAAAATGTGTTAATTTAACATATGGTATAATTGTTAATTTTATTAAAGAAATATGCTTCTAAGATTTGCCTACAAATTATGTATACTTTTTGTGTTAATTTTTTACATCATATTTGTGTTTAATAATAATTGTGTTACTTTCTAACATATTCATTTTGTATTAAATTAACACAAATATTTAGATGTACCGTTTAAGAAATGTAAAATGTATTAAATTATTTTAACTATTTAGATCTTTATTGCTAGAAAACCAATTGAAAGTATTTTTAGTCTCTTGATAAAAAATTTTAGGTCGTTATAGTATCATTCTCGAATTGCAATAAATAAAAGCAATAAAAGATCGATATCCTTCGAACTAATCCAATATTGATTTCTTCGGGTATCGGAACAAAGAAATAAAGCTATCGATATTATTTACTCGTGTTTATTTTAATCTCTTTGTACGCTGCAAGCAGTTATAGCGAGACAATTTTTACTTTGAAAATTTTTATGGAGCTATTTCTATGTAGGATTCAGATAACGTGTACAGTTCGTGTATCCAAACGATCAAAGCCTTAGTTACTAAAGCTAATATGGCGAAATCAGTCGACCGAATAACCCGGATTTTCTTTTTTTATCTGGAATAGCGGTTTATTCAATTTTATGAAGTATCATTTCGAAAACATGCAGCTGTATACTTTGAAAACTTTTTTAGTTACAAGAACTTTGATGCTTCACAATACGTGAAGATAAATCTTAACAGCTTAAATCTTTCATTTAAAATTAAGCTTACCTAAATAAACTGCTTGTCGAAAGTTAAATTATGACAACAACAAAAAATCCAAAAAAAGGCGAAGAGTCAGCGTAGTAATTAATATGCAATCTTTATTCCAAAAAATAGTACGTAGTAATAGTAGTTTCAGTTCTGCACTTTGAAACCATTCTCAGTAATACAATTTCAAAATATCAATCCCTTCATGTCCAAGAAAAAATCATCAGATTAACAGATTTGATGTTGTAATCCCAGGACATAAAAGGAATTCGTCTCGACATTGGATCAAAACCGATTAAAATTTATTATCATTAAAGAGCAAAGTTAAAAACCGTGTTGATCGCAGCTTGAACGAAACATGACTTAAATTATGACACGCAATGAGTGTGACTAACGGTTTTTTACGATAAGGAATGCAATCTTTCCTCTTGAAAAGGCGAAGAAAAGACGTAGCCGAAAAATCTAATGAGTTTAACGAAGCTTTGGCGGAAGCCAAGTTTCTGTTTCGCCATATAATGCTCGTGTCACACGAGACGGCTCTCTAAGTTTTTGCGAAGATCGTTATCTGACTCGCCTGTGCAATGTGTCCGATCGATATACCATCAAACGATATGAAAAAAGTTGAAAAAGAAACGCGCCACGAGACACGATAGCGAAAATTCAAACGTCATCCCATATCTCTAAGAAAATTACACGTTAAAATACAATGAAATTGAAGGAAGGCTGACAAATAAACAATTAATAAAATCACGTTGATTTTAGCAGTTATATGAAAATCAGACTTTCCGATTGACATCGACTAAAAGTAAAAACATTTATGTTACACTTTCGCACTCAATAATGTAGTTGTTATGTAATATATTATTATATTATATTTATATTGTTGAAAAATTATAACACAGATATTATGTTATTTTTAATTGATGTCGATTGGATTCTTATTTCTCTTTAATAATAATTTTTTTTCCATTTAATTTTTGGAGAAGTATTGTTGGATTGACAACGCAATCTTGCTTACAGTTTTGATAATTAGAAATATAAACGAAGTTTATTCAGATCGTTCCATTTTATATGTTTGATTTATGTGAAAATCGAAATAGGATAATTTTCTTATGAAAAAAAAACATGAATTATTGAAAATATCCTCGTCAAGGTCCACAAAATTAAAATCAAGAAAATCAGGGAAATGTCAAGGAAATTGTCAGGGAAATCAGAGAAAAGTTATGGAATTTTGCAAATTCTTCTGAAAAATTAAAATTCTTGGTTTTAAAGAAGAATTTAATATACATTTATTACATCTACACAGTTTTAAAATATTACCGATACTTAATAATTAAACGTAAGTAGTGTCAGCAACATTAAATAGTAATTTACGTTATTATGTTAAATTGTATTCTCAACAAAATATTTAAGTTTCCAAATTAGGATGAAAATATAAAAATTTCAAAATATGATTGAAGCATCTGGGAAGAATATTATGAAATTTTATTTGAATAAATTTTATTTTTATCTAAAAATCAAGGAAAAATGATGGAATGTTAGGATGAGGAATTTGTGATAATCCTATTTGTTCTTTTTCTGTTTTAGAAAATCATGCTATCGTTGTGTCGTCATTCACGAGAAGCATTCCAACGTTCTGCAGTATAAAGAAAGTAAGTACGAAAAAATATAAAAATAAGTACACGACACGATATCATTATTTCCGCCAGATCGATAACGATTTGCTGGCAGCCTTCGAAGCCTCGTTCATTAAGATGCCGATCGTTAATTAAAAGCTCGACGTGATGACGGCGAAAGAAGGGAGAGACAGAATACCGAGTAAATCGTAGCGTTTGAAATTATTCTTGGACAGAGAACTTAATGATTTTCCACGCCCATTGTAAAGAACGACAGATACGACAAACGCGAGACATTAGAAGAGCTGTTACGAAAACGGTTTCGCTAATTCCACCCCGCGACTACCAATCTCGTTTACAGTATAAAAGCGATCAGGAACACTGTCCCCTCTTCCCTATCTCCGTGTTTTACGGATATTCGTTTTCTATCTACCTCGTTAATGCATTCATCCGAGCGGAGAGCGAACTCGCCGAAACACGATAATAATTCCTAACGAAACGCTGCCGTATTTCACACTCTGTACGTTCGCGGATTAAAGTGTGCTGCACGTTCTGATTTCCGGTAACTCCTATTAATAATACTGATGCAAATCTCACTACAAATTTCTAGATGTTAAATAGTTGAATAATTATTCAGTTTTATCTAATTGAAAAATAATGGTTACCGTTATTTTTAGCGTTACAATTAATTTCCGCTTTTGTACACGGAGAGAATGATTTTGCTGAAATATTCAAAAATTTAGCTGAATGTACAGATCTGAAAATAATTTTGTTGAATCATCAAAATAATTATGTAGGAAACTCAAGCGTGATGAGTAATACCGCAAAAAAATTTTAGCAATCAATTTCAACATAATTATACATACATAATTATTTTGATAATTCAATAAAATTATTATCAGATCTAGTTAAATTTTTTAATACTTCAGCAAAACTGTTTATTTCTATGTAGAAACTCAAATCTCAAACTTAATTAATTTTTTTTCTAATCTCATAAATTATGCATTTTTTAAGAAAAGTGGCTTCATTTATAACTCAATTTATTTTTTTGAAGTTTCTACGATAGTTTTGTCATCACAATTAATTAAAGAGAATTCAATTATAATAATATATATATATACAGAAATTCGAAAATTATAAGAGAGAAAACCAGTGCAAAAAGAATAATTTATTATGAGATAGTTCAATAACAATTTATTCAACTACATATTTTATTGAAATTTCTGTGCTAGCTTTAGATTTATCATCACGTTTAAATCTATAGAATTAAATGCGATATGTATAAAAATTTGATGATCTGTATTTTAAAAAAGAAAATTCGTAGTTCCAAAAGAATTATTTGTTACACAATAAGAAATCGCAATTACGAGTTATAATTACAGAACTTTCTGGAGATCGCGACAGTTGACTAATTTTGGGACAACTATTTTGAACAATCTAGAAATGTATTTTCCCCCTGCAGTTTTATCGATTATCGAGCGCGACGATACACGAGCACCAAGAAGTAGCCTGAAGTTTTGCCCACCGGATGTGATAGGGAGCGCCGGCTACCCGCTACGTCCGACTCGCAGCTAGCGGAGAGAAAAAAGCATAGGTCAACATGTACGAGCGGAAAAAGCGCGACAGCGTCCGCGCTGGATCCGCCTCCTACGTCTCGCGTCGGCATTTTTCGACGATTTGTCAAAGTCCCCCCGTTTTTCTTCTCTCCACTCGTCGTTTTATCGGGCTTTAATCTGCATAGTGTCACGCCGCGGGCACCGTCGCTCGCAGACTACCTTCGTCGAGCACAGTTTGTCGCCGGGAAAAATGGGAGAACGAGACGAAACGCTCTGCTACCCCTATCCTCCCGGCTTGAATCCAGGCAACTCGGTTGCGAACGTCAAAGCGCGGACGAATGAAACGTCGAAGCGAACGCAATATTTCCACATACGACGTATACTTTATTAAAGAAACGCGAATTTCGTCCGTATAACGCTGAGGAGCTCGAGACGAATCTTCACTATACGTGGCGATGGATATAGAATTTTTCTCCATTTAATAAATATGACGTATATAATTGAATAAATATCACCTAACGCCATTCATTCGATACATCCGAATATTTTATTTTAGTAGTATCTCTTAATGTTTTTATCAAATTTCATGTATTTAAATTTTATGTACTTAAATTTTATCAATTCTTTATCAATTCAACGAGAAGAACAATTTTGTTGAATAATATAAAAATTTAACTAGGTTTGAAAATAATTTTGTTGGGTCATCAAAATAATTATGTAAGACGCTTAAATATTGATGATAATGCTGCAAAAAGCTTTGCTAATCAAACAATCAATTTGAATGTTCTGTATAATTATTTTGGTCTAAAAAATTATTTTCAGATCTATAGTTAGCTAAATTTTAAAATACTTCAGCAAAACTATTCTTTTCGTGAACGATACTTATGTACATGAAAAAAAATAAATAAATAAATTTTGTTTCTAAAAATTTAGCTAAATAAAGATCTGAAATTAATTTTGTTGAATCATCAAAATAATTATGTAGAAGATCAAGTATTGATGACAATTATAAAAAGTCTTAACATTCTAGCAACTAGCAACTAGAGCATCCTATATTTTAGTAAAAAACAAGTTTATAAAGAATTTTCGATATTTAAAACAATAAAAACAGATTAAACCACGACTAAGGATAACGGCGCGGTAATTATGCGCAAATGATTTCCAATAAAGAATATATTTACTCCGTAGTTGTGCTCAATAAAAAAAGTATATTTCGGGTTCAAACCATCTTTAACGATATACATAACAATTATTTTCGCATTAATATGTATGTTCTCAGTATTCATCAGATGAAATATCTTCTGCAACTTTTTCTAATTCAGAAGTGCCTCTTAATTAGTTTATACTTTATAAGCTGACATGAGTGAAATACTGATGTAAATGAAGAACGAGATCGCAAAATAGAAATTTTAGCGGTGTGTTAATAAAATCCACCGAATAAATTAGTATAAAATAGAACAAATTCATGCATCAAACGAAAATTTATCGTTCAAATAAAATAACTGACAATGAATCACATAAAAATCACAAATCAAATGATGATAATTATTTTGATAATCCAAGCAAAATTGTTCAGATATATATCTAGTTAAATTTTTAGACACTTTAACGTCTTTAACAAAATCATTTTATCTGTGAAGAAGAAACAACCCGTTGAAAATATTGAAATTATAAGAGAAAGCTTTAGGCTATTCAAAAGCTCGGGTGCCGCTAATAAAGAGATAGACAGAAGACAAAAGTCTTTTGCTCGATTTTTCACTGGCCGCAGGTAACACCTGCGGAAAAGTTAAGTCTCTTTGCGAGGCGAAGTCTTTCGCGGAAGCTTTCCGCCGCTTTTCTCGCACGAGCGCGGGGAAAGAAATCGGAGGGAAATATCCTCCAGTTAAACTTCCACTGCGGGAACTTACTACTCAGGAAGATTCGTCATCGTCCAACTCGACCTGCTTCTTCCTTCTCTTCTGTCAACCCTCTTCATCCCGCTCATCGCATCACCGGCGATATAAGAACTTTCTGTTATCCGGCAAAATTTTTATTAACGTTGTGATTCTTCAGAGGTAGTTCTCTGCAAAAAGGAGATGTAACTGCGATTATCGTTGGTTTGTTCGAAAAATGATACGCGCTGTAACGAAAGATTTGCCGCAATAGAAACTTTTCCGAGGGCGAAGTAAAGCAAGTAATATATAGGGTGGCTTGTAGAGGCTTTTATTCACTTTACGCTGTACAAGTGATATGTTATCATCAGGGATACGAAATCCGATAACGGCAATATTGCGTTCGAGAAAATTGGAGTTTCCACGACGAACGGCATTCTTAATCTCTCAAGTGAGCAGTAACAGTATCCTATTTGGAGAATTCTTAGCCGAATACAAATGCAGTAAAACTATAAGCTTCAAATATATCAGTTTATGTATTCAATTCTTTTGTAAAAAATAAAATGCCTTTTCTATTTGTTGAGTCACGAAGAAAATATTATAAAATATTAAACAATAATTATAGAATTTTTACATTAATTACTCTTGCGTGTAAACTGATTTGTTTCCCGAAAAATTATGACTCACACCACCGACACGCCTGCATTCAACACGAATGTTTAAAATAAACATGCTAAATATATTTAACGTATCTCTCATTTAGAATAAATTTCGGATTTTTTCATTGAATTATTTAACATACTTCTGTTAAATTCTTACTCTCAATACCATAGTTTAATTCATAATGACACATTTCCGTATAACGAATACGTTTAAGAAAAATTTGGGTCACAGATTTATGAAACATGAACATGGATATAAGATCTATTATTAATGTAGGATATATTGTGTATGCTCGGTGTGCGAGATAACGGGAACGGGACGCGCGTTTAATCTCAATTAATTTTCTCTTGCAGCTTTTTGCCACAGTAGGAACTCTCTGGCGTCTCTCTGCTCGTATATTACGGGGGATGCGTTACTGTACTCCATGTTCCGCGAGGAGGCACTCCCTGTAGCGTGCCCTTTTCGCGGCCCCATGACCTTTTCGTACAATCGTGGCCACGGCACGTGCTCGAATCCACCGAGCAATGTCGACACTTGTACAGATGACAGCAGACTTCTCTTCAAATACCAGGCCTGTCCTGATGTACCCGCTTCAGAGAGTGCAGGTAAGATACTTTTTTGTTTAAGGAAAATTTTAAGTTCTGTGTTTTAATAATAATAATCAAAATAATAATATCAATTTTTTAAAAATAAATTAAAAATTGTAATAATTAAAATAATAATAATTTAAGTAAAAAATGTGTCTGTGTCAAATAATGCGGAAAAAATCGCGATTCTTAATTTGTAGTGTCTAAAAAATAAGGATAAATTAATATTTGGTCTCTCAGATATAGAAAAAAGGTAAATGTTTTTCTTTCCATGTCGCATATCCTTTTTTATTTACATATTCTTTGACAAAACTGGCGTGCATTTCGAATCAACAAAAATATTATCTATTACTTTTTCGCTATACACTCAATATTACTAAAGATTATAAGTCTCCGTTTTTTTCATGAATAAGTTTCACATTTTCGTACCATGAAACGTGAATATACATTTTTTGTAAAATTTATTATAGTTATTTATTCGATTATTTATAATGCATATACTTTCAACAACATACTCAGGATGCTTCAAAGCACTTGTTAGTATTATAAATTATGCAAATACGAGGTGGATAATCATATTATTATAAATTATGTAAATACAGGTTTTATGATCTTTGCGGTTCTTTGGCAACAAACTACATGTAGTACTTTACATAATTTGCAGTAATAAATATGACATTAAATTTCTAATTCCATTGTACGCAGAAAATCTAAATTTTCATAATATTAGTATTCTGCTTTAATTTTTCATAAAAAAAATTTATTTTTAAAAATTAAAATCGTAAGAGATTAATAATTAATTATTAATAATTAAAGAAAAATTTCTTCTAGTATGTTTCTGGTTAATTAACATAGTTTAATTTGAATAATGCAACTTATTAATGCGATTGATATCTCACATGCGAGCAGTCACTTCAGCGATTCCGATAGACTAGTCATCGCCGATTTGTATATCTTGTGCGCTTCAATTAAATGCTCGTTATTCGATGGATTTGCATTTAATAGCGCGGCACAGCGAGATTAAATTTGTAGTCAATACGGGGTTTATATGTCTATTTTTGACCGACGTGTGTTCAATTTAATATATTGCGGTATAATCGATATCGCCGATAATCCGTTCCGAAGCAACGGTAGCGTTGTCAATTATACCAAGTTACATTGCAAAATGTGTGGGCAGCGTCTAAATATTCATCAACTTGGTCGATTCTCGGCCGCTATTAGGACTGCTATCAGCGCCAGATGATAGAGGGTAATAGAATATTCATTTCTCTCCATGGATGTCCTTTCGGTTTAATAATTTACCACGCAAACAAGATATTTTGTGTCGCAAAATGTTTGAACTGCCTCTCAAGTTTGACGAATTCAAAATTTATCTATAAAATCATATGTTTTACAAAGTGATTTACATTTATATATATGCTGATTGTATATTTCGAGAAAAATTCAGCAACGATATAAGCATCGTTTTCATTTCATTTACATCGTAATTTCTATTTTACCACAAAATCATGAAATGCCAAATATTTTGTTGCATAACAAAAAATTCACGCTTTTTGTTCGTCTCTAAAGAGAAACAAGATAAATTCTGATTATTAAAGAGACATTGTAATTTATTATTTCATGTCGAAGAAAACGTTCAATTTGGGATTGATTTTATTGTAACTTTGAAATATCTACATATATTCCTGATAACAGGACGGATTAAAAAAGTCTATATACGTCATGTAAATACAGCGAACGATGTGAATGAAAGAACCGACTAGCGTTCGTATGCGGCTTTTGTACCTGCATTTTCTTCTATTTTCCTCATCGCGTTTGATCGGATTTACTTTCGATGCGCTTTGGTCCCGCGTTTTCAAACATCCACAAAAATGGAAACGGTTTCATTCGAAATCTAACCGACGAATCGTACCTTTAACGAGCACTTTGCGGTGAAAAAAAGAGGCGATTGCGAATCGGTCAGGCGACAGATTTTTCAGAATTAAATCGACGCAGGGATATTACGGTTCTTTTATCCTGAATTTCACCATTCACGCGAAAAGGGACGTCGTCAACGCCTTCCGTTTTCCCAACCTTCGACAACCTGTTGAGAAACCGATTTATTGATAGAACACGATGTATATCATCGAACACACAGTACAGAATAGATAAATTTTTATCCATTCGTATGAAAATTTTTGTAATTCGATGTAGGGATTTAAACTTTTTGTTTCGTAGAGAATCGGTTTTATCGTTCAACTGGTGTTTTCGAATTTCGTGACACGTAATGTTTTAACTAACGCATAAACATGCACATACTTTTGTTTAGTATCGAATAGATTTGATTTAAAAAAAAGAGAGAAAGACAAAACACATACGTGTATAAATTATTCACAAAAATTTCAAAACATGGCAGGTAATATTTTTACATAATCGGAAAATTTGTGTTAAATTGAACACATTTCACATGTCAAACATCCACTCAAATTTGTGTTAATTTAACACAAGATGAATATATTAAGAAGTAACTCAAATATTATGTAACAAATTAAAACGTAAAACTGAACAATTTTTAAGCAATCATTTTTCTTCACATTAAGATTAATAATTTAAAATATATTAAGTTTTTTAATAAATTTAATATTTGTAATATGTTAAATTAACTCATTTTATTTTAAAATTAATACATTTCTCAGAATGTTAATATTAAAAAAAAATTGTTTTTATTTCTTTACTTACTCATAAATTGTGTCGTAATAACTAAGAAATAATTAAGTAATAACTAAGTGTAATAACTAAGAAATATTGATGATTATGAAATTTAACACAAAATATTTAAATAACACAGTCATATTAGAAATCTTAAGTAACACAGTCATATTAGAAATGTTAAATTAATGCTCGGATATATTGAAAATTCAACATAAAATTTTAACAAGAACTTAAACTGTTTCTGACACAAATATAAAATGTTTGTATTGTCTACCAATAATTTTCAAAAAAGATGAAAAATATTTATTATTCAAAAATCCATATCACTATTATTTTCGATATTTTCATTAAATCAGCGTTTTGTATTACTTTTAAAATTTGATGATTAAATAAGGAGCCAAATTTCTCGAGTGTGTATATCATAAATACACACGTCAGTGCTCAGTATAAATCTTTTATCAAATGTCGTTAATATATTTAGAAAAATCTAAAAAGAAAAATCTAAATAGAAAATTCTAAAATTTAATTTTTTATTGTTTTAAAGATGATTTATTGGGATGATAGTATTTTGATTAAAATAAGAGTAAACAACTATATACACTTTAATTTCCATAAAACATAATTCTTAAAACATTTCGCGCCTTATATATATTTTTTTTACTTATTTCTAAATTTTTTCGCGCTTCTTTAACTTTGACTAAAATTTTTGCGACATACTTGGAGATCCATGCGACATACTAGCACCTGAAAAATCTGCATTAAATAATTACGAACAATTTAAAATTTTATATTTTTTCTATTAAGTTGCTTATTCCTTCAACGCTGTTTATTCATGCAATCAGTGAATGGTATTTGCGTTCAAAAAAGCGAAAAATCTCCAAGTCTTCGTCGAGGAAAACGGACAAGGGCGCATAGAGATAGAAGCACCTGGAGTAAAATCCAGGAATAGGTCTTTTTCCAAGCATTACCTCTCAAATTACTCGGAGATAAAAAAACCGACTCTTTGCAGCGGTCGAGCGAGAAGATAAAAAGGTGAGGAGGCGCTAGCCGCCATGGCAGTGAAAGAGCGAGCCGCGAGAAAGAGTCGCCCGGAAAAAGGGAAGGCAGACTTTCGCGCGCAAGATGTGATTTAGATACGCGGCTCCTGGGATTCCGCCGGGCTGCCTCTAGAGGCGACTAAAGAGCGAGAAAGAAACGAAAGAGAACGAAGAGGGTCGAAGTGGCGAAGCGGAACTGAACGAGCGGCTTGAACGATAACATCTCTCGCTCTTTGCGTAGTCTTTTGGGCTGTTCCTTGGAGTTCCGATAATTGTCGGTCTCGTCGGTCGCGTCGCCGAGGAAGCTGGGGATCTCTAGCGACAGAGCTCGGAATCTCGGGTATCGTTTTTCACGCGGAAATCTCCCCGAGCTCTCGCTTCATTCGCCGCACCGTCAGGTCGCTTTCCGCGCTTCTTCTTCGTTCATTCGTCTTCTTCTGCTCGTCCCTTTCCGTCCGTCATTGAATGCCTGGGCTCTCCCAATGGCGCTTTAAAGAGCGCTCTGGGATGCGTCTTTACGGCGACGAGCTCCGTCGACGGCGCACCGCAGTCGTTGCGCCTGAAACATTTTTGCCGCGAATAGCCTCGACTACAACGATACCCTTGGACTCTACACACACTCTCGGAGTACTCCGAATCTATCGGATGTCTTTCAACCGTCGATCCTTTGACGAGTTTTAGGTCAGCGTTTTCTTAACGGGAATTTGTATACCGAAATAGTTTCCTGTCCTACGTATAAAACATAAAAATTCTTCAGCTTCCGAAAAAGACGCTTAAATCGAAGGAAAAAGTCTTTCTTTGCTTATCGCATATTACGAGCACAGTTCTGAATCCTTGGAATCTTTTAAGATAATAAATGGAAAACCGATACGTTAAGCATACATATAAAAAAAAATGAAAGAATTGACTTTTTGATTCGAGTTTAGTAATATGAGTTCATATTTTAAAAAAAGCCTTCTGTAATCTAATAAAAATCTAATAAAAATCTTTCTTGACTATAAGTATCAAACATCCCCACAAATCGACATAAACTTTCTATGTGTATCTAACGAAATATAAATTAAAAACAGTTTTATTGAGAATATTTATTTTTATAATAATTTTAATATTTTGTTAATTCTTCTTTGGCTTTTATTACCGCCTTTTCCAAAAAAAATGTAACAAATTGAAGATTGCTTTTATATACTGTTAGAAAATTTGTGTTAATTTAACATATATTTTTTATTTATTCGTCTTATAATTTATGTTTTAAAATACTATTTTTATATTATTTATTCACTTACGATAAATTGTGTTATTTTGAATGAATGAATTAAATATAAATTAACACAAATTATTTTAACTAACATAATCACATTATATAATATTAAGTTAGCACTTGAATATGTTCAAAAATTCAACACAAAATATTAACAAGGATTTGAGTGGACCATTTGCGACATTTTTTATTGTATACTTATGCAAGGCTGTAAACAACATTAATTATTGCGGTATTTTTAATTATAGCATATATAATATTATTCAGCTTTCGTGATGAGGAAGCGATATATCTATTTCGTCTATTTTTCTGTCAAACATGAATTGCTACATATATTTCCATTAAAACTGCATACGAATAAAAATCAAGCGGCGAAGTGAAAATGGATATAGAAATATGGCCGACGGGCAATGGTCAGTAATCGCGGCAGTAACGTTTTTCGTGTGGAAATCATGGCGGTCGTCAGTCTACGATCGCTGGAGAATATTCGAATGTTCCTCACCTGTTCGCCGCTTTTTCTCGACCGTTTGCATTGGCTCGTTCCTTCAATGACATTTACAGGAGCGCTATCGAAATCCTCTTTACGAAGCGGCGCCTTTAGCTTCTGCGAGTGGCTGATAATGGACACGCCGAAAGAGTTACTTTTCAACGATTCCCCAAATCAAATATTAAGTTTCGGCCGTGATGTATATCGACATTTTCAAACAATTAATGTCATTCTATATCTTGAAAAGACAAATTAGTTTGATGGGAGACATTGTTTTTTTGTACTCACGCAATATTACCGCACAGCGGTAATATTTTAATCCTCTCGCGTCAAAATCTGTGATCATTTATGCTGATTAAAGGCATCAATTAATTTCAAGGAATCAAAATGACAATTCGTATAAAAAAAAATGTGTGAACACTAAGTTTATTTTAATAACAAT